GGCGTCAGCAGGGCAGCAGACAAAAGTGATGGATGCAACAGCATGGGAGTGCATAACATTACGGCAGACACGAACGGCAAAGGGACAAGTAAGACCCGGGAATAGCGAAAGCATCGCGGAATTGCTTGCTTTTCTGTCGACACCTTTACGAACGTGTTAGAACAGTGACTATGAGATACATTGCGCATAAAAGAGGTCGCCGACTACAACACCACGTATGAGAAGACAGTGATTGTGTACTGTCCGCTCCTAGGCAACCGACTCTCTCAAAGATATCATTGGGCATTTAGGAGCCCCCAACTAAGAGAGTGATCAGGACAAACCGCTTATGAGTAATAACCATTCATGTGTTGAATAATTGCGTTCAAGGTATCAACTCATCATACCGGCACTACGGGTCGAGGGAACTGGACATGCCCAAGCTGTTCCGTGTGTGAACATGGACTACATATCGTTAGCACTCTAAGGGACAGTCTGGGCGTTGAAGACGTTGAACAACCCTACCCAAGTGGATTTACAAAAACTCAAAAGACCAGCTCGAGCCGCAAGAAGTAAGAAACTTTTAACCCTGTAAAACGTGAGAATCCACTAAGGTATACAATTGGAAGAATTACTCTAGAACAGTTGAAGTTATATAATCAACGTCAGCAGGAAAACTTTATAGCAGCATATAAGGTAATAGCATCACACTATAACAGGCTTGTCTGACACACACATTCCCCATATAATCTACAAGACAGGTTTCACTCGGATCGGCACTTGCCAGCGAGTTCGTGGTATTGGTCCAGACAATCGGAATACCCCATCTCAAGAGAGAAACTGTCACCATAGTAGCACTTCACCCATTCCCAGTTATGAACAACATACAGGGAACCATGGATATCATAGAGGAAATCGAACTGCTCTTGTGTGAGAATACCATCAGAAACTGTACGGGCCTTCAACTCGTTGAGCAACTCCCATGCATATTCAATACCACCAGTGGAATCGGGATAAGCTGAGGCATCGTAAGCACACATAGAAAGCTTGTGACAGTATTTACCAACAGTGCAAGAACCCTCCAACATGATGGTGATCTTGGCCTTCAAGTTCTCCCATCCTGGTTGAGTACACACAGCACACTGTTCTGTCATCATATAATTCATACGATAAACGAGATCATCTGCATAGTCACCGTCAATAGCGTTACGATAGAGCATCATCGTAGCATGGTCGGCATACTGCATAATGTACTGAGTACCCAGAGTATTTTTTTG